ACTTTTTAGTTTTAGTCCCACATGTTTATCTCTGCTTTTTTTTACTTTTGTTTTTGGTGTTAAATTAAAATCACCAAGACAAGTATCAAAGAGCTTACCACCCATATTTTCCTCTAGGAGTTCTATGACTTCAAGTCTTTTTTTTTTTTTTTTAAAGATTTATTTATGCATACAGAACTGGGGTATAAGCCAGAGGTGCAGGGTGTGAGGATTCAGTAGAGACAATGGGGAGCAGAACAGGCAGAGAGGCTGAAATACACTGCTGAGGGGAGCAGCAGGTGGGTCAGTAGAGTCAACCATGCCATGTGGTTCAGCTCCCTGACCAGGGATCAAACTCGTGGGTGCAGTGGCTGCTATAGCTTCATAGCTCTGTGCTTTAACCCGTTGTGTCACCAGGGAGGACCCACATTCAAGTCTTTCAGTAGATTTTATGTTGTCCAGTTTCATTCTTTGATATATGGTTGTCCAGCTTTTTAGCAACATTTGTTCACGAGACAGTCATTTGTCCATTACCTCCTTTATTGTAAATTAATTGATCATATATGCATGGGTTTATTTCTGAGCTGTGTTCTCTGTTCCATTGAGTTATTGTCAGTGTTTATCACAGTATTACATATTCTTTTGATTACTATAGCTTTGTAATGTAGTTTGAAATGAGGAAGCATGATGTTTTCTGCTTTTCTTTCTCAAGATTACTTTGAGATAGTTGGTGATGCAAATATAAATTTTAGGGTTGTGTGTTCTATTTCTGTGAAAAATGCCATTGGAATTTTGATAGAGATTGTATTACATCTATATGTAATTTGGCTGGTATGGGCATTATAACACAGTAATTTCTCTAATCAATGAGCTTTAATCCACAAAAATTTGCAGTTGACTTGTTCTCTTCAATTTCCTTCCAAGTCTTCTAGTTTTGTTATTCACCTCCTTGGTTTTTAGATCTTTATTCTTTGTGATGCAATTATAAATGAGATATTTTCTGTTTTTTTCTTTAGTGTATAAAAACACAGTGAAATTTGTATATTGATTTTATGTCCTGCAATTTCATTGAATTCATTTAGTAGTACTGATTGCTTTGTAGTGGCATCTTTGGAGTTTTCTGTATCTCGTAGTATGCAAATCACCTGCAAATTTGTAAAGTTTTACTTTTTTCTAACTTGGGTGCTTTTTTGTATTTCTTGCCTAATTGCTTTAGCTAGGATTATAGTACTAAGTTGAATAAAAGTGCTGAGATTGAGTATCCTTGCCTTGTTCTTGATTTTAGAGAAACACTTTGATATTTTCACCACTGAAGTCTGATGTTCTCTGTGGCTTTGTCATATATGATGTTGTGGTAATTTTCTCGATGGCCACCTCGTTGTGTTTTATTATACATGTCTGTGTTTTGTTTGCCAGATGTTTTTTTCTTTTCTTTTTTTAAAATATTTACACTGCTGAGGGGAGCAGCAGGTGAGACAGGAGAGGCCTGCTGCGCCATGTGGGTCACCTCTCTGGCTGGGGATGGAACTCTTGTTCAGTGGCTGTGGATTGCGTCATAGTGCTGCACTTTAACCTATTGTACTATTGAGGGGGAGAGAGGGTGTCCAGATGGTTTTTCTTTAGCTATTAAGATGATCATGTTTATTCATTTTGTTAATGTGGTATTACAGTGATTTGAAGATGCTAAACCATATTTTGTACTTCTGGGTAAATCCCACTTTGTTGTAGGCTATGATTGATCCTTTTAATGTGTTATTGAATTTAGTTTGTAAATATTTACTGAGGATTTTCGCAGTGATACTGGTTTGTAATTTTCTTTCTTGTAGTATACTTGTCTAGTTTTGTTTTCATTGTAAGCTGATTCTAGGAGAGGAGTGTTTGGAAGTAGACTCTCCTTTTCTGCTTTTTGGAAGAGCTTGGAAGGATGGTTAGATGCATACCCTTAGGCTGAAATGTTAAGATAAACAAATAGGTTTCCTTCACTGAAAGATGATACTTCTCATTTGGCTGCTTGTATAGTGTGCTCTGGGGTGAGTCCTTGTGAGCTCTTGAAGAATGGCTTCTCAGTTCATCAAGCATAGCCTTCTGGGTCTTGTAGATGCAAGCCCGCTTGGCTTTCAAAAGTTAGGTGTTTTGGGAGCTCTCTGCAGTTATAGATTTTAAGAATTGGGGTGCCCAACATGGGGTTCAGTCCTTTTCAGGAAGCAGCTCAGGGTTCTAAGTTATCCTCTTAATTGCACATGTTGGTGTTGGGGTAGAGTTTTTGGCAAAACTGTCTCAACCTTTCCTACTTGTTCTAATGTAGCTATTTTTCCTAGTCTGTCCAGTGTGTAAGAGGAGTAGCTCACCTATTTTGAGGGTATCTTTCAGGAAACTGGTCTACTTGTAGTTGGTAATTCAAGGTGTGCTTGGAAGTGTGTTCAGGATCCTCCTGTAGCCATTTTGAACTGGAACCCTGTGTATTTTAATACCTAAGAGAATATGGCCACAGGATATTTTTCCCATGGGTATCACATAAACCAGTATTTTAAAAAATTACATTGATACAAGCTCCTGATATAAACCAGACTTCTATACTGGCTTCCAGTATCTACTTCCTGGTATATACACACCTTCTGTTACCCAATCAAAACCAAATCCCAGTGCTGCTTTTAAGGGACCTGCATATGTTAGCAAGCCCCAAGTCAGGTGATTTTGAGAGATTACCTGGGTAGCTGACCTAATCAGGTAATCCTTTAAAAGTGGCTCTTGCTGGCAAGAGATTCAGAGTGTGAGAGAATCTGATGGGAGAGTCTGATGCCTGGCTTTGAAGATTGGGGTGGGGCTTGGGGGCCCAGATCACAAAGAATGCAGATGACTTTTAGGAGCTCAGAGCTGACTAAATGAGACATATGTCCTTTAACTGCAAGGAACTAAGTTTTGGTGCAAATACTTGAGCTTAGAAAAGGATTTCAAGCTTCCTATGAGGGCAGAGTCCAGTGACATGCTGATTTTAGCGTCCTAAGACAGAATAGAAAACCCAGCCTGACTGCTCCTAAACTTTTGATCTCTGAACTCTTAAAGTGTTGTAAGCCTCCAAGTTTGTACTTATTTACTAAAGCCACAATAGAAGACAAGCAATTGAGTATTATGCTCATAAACTTGTAACTATTATTTGTTAAATATTTATTGATGTTAGATCACATTACACCAGCACAACAATCCAAAGTAGTATTTTTTTTTATAAATACAACATGAAAGGTGGCAAAATAATGCTACTTAATCCCAAACCCAGCAAGTGAGCAAAAAGTCACATTCAGAAAAATTTGGCAAGTAAGATATGACATATGTCATAATTCTACAGTATAGATAGGTTCACAAGAGACTTTGCATGGTATCTTACATTCCATATTAGCAATGCACAAAGTGTAGTAAAAGAAACTTGTACCATCCTGTATAGAACATCTGCCACCTGGTGCTCAAGCCTATTAATTATTTAAAACTCGTTTGGTATTCTTACAAAGAAGTAGAAAGCTGTACATGTGAAGCAGTAATATGAAATATATGGAGTGGTACACAGATACAAAGTCATTTAAAAATACTACATATTGAATAACTGAGCTAAGAGTTCAACATTTTTATTATAAATAATGAAAGATATATGTGTTTTGCATAAGATAATTTTTCATAGCAAAGTACCATTAAAGCCTCATGTTTTAATATTTTAGGCCAAATTTTTTCCTTTTCAAAATTATTGGTTCCGACTTAAAACCATCAAGTCTGGTCAGAATCAACTTAATCTAGCTGATGCAGAATCACACTCATTTAAAAACCAGTCTTTTGCTGATGCCTTTACAAATTACTTGGCACCCAGAGCCCTTTTAAGGCAAAGTTTCATGACAGCAGGGAAGTAAACTAGTATTTTCCCACTGACTTTATCTTGGTGCCATTGAGATTAAATTATGGCACAAACCTGTTTTTGTTGATCTAAGTCTCCGTTCCCTTCAGTAAGCTAAAGCCTGTCAGGCGATTTCTCACTTAAGCTACTCTTGTAGGCTCAGTCCATTTTCAACTTGCTCTGCACACCTAAAATTGTCCACTAGTACACAAACTTCAGACACAATGAAATTTCCATAGCTCATCTGCTCCAAGCTTTCTGCTGACTCTATATTCCCCGACTTTTGAATGGTAGTTTTTTTTTTTTCACCTCCATTTAGATTAATTTTGAAGAAAACTAAAGATAAAGCTTGGCCTTTAATTTATCATTTCTCCTATTCCTTCTGCGTCTATCTAAACGAGTACAATACAAACATGCTGGTAGCATTTTCCTTCATTCTCTTTTCCCTCCAAACCCCTGGTTCCTCCAGATACTATGCCTTGGTCATTTGGGTGGTTTGGATGCCTTTCCTGGAATGGACTATAATATATTTATTTCTGCTTTCTTCAGAATACTTTATATTACTCATACTTAAATTAGCCTTTCAATATGGTTTGTAAATAAGCTTCCTACCAAGGTAGCAAGAAACTACTACACATTAAAAAAAGTTTAAGAACTAAGATACTAGCCTTGTTAGAAAACTTGATATTCCTAAAGTTTGAGGCAAGTAATTACTTCCTTATGACTTAATATAAAACAATTTGCAAAGACAAGGCATTTCCTTGGATTTCTTTGTCATTCTTTCTCTTCTCCTTACATATTGCACTTGGTTCACTGTATACTTATTTGAACACACTGTCACTTTAGAATCATCTTAGTATTGTTTGCGGTACAGTTGCCTTACATTAAGCATTTCACACTGTCATGGTACGTAGCACCTATAGCTAGTGTTTAAAGGCACTTATGATGGTACAAACTGGAGTTATCTTGAACAACTGATTTTCTTTTAGTGTTTTGGCATTTCAGACCTTAAATCATAGCAATTCCAAACGTTTTAAACTAGATAAATGTGAATTTTCTGTGCAATGTGTATATTTCTATTAGCACTGCCTACTTGAACTTTGTTTGGTATATCAAGTAAGAAAGTATTATTTTGGTGGCTTTTATTTCTTATAGTCAAAGGTATGTTTTTACCTTTAACATAAATGTAACATAGGAACACATTGGTCAAGGCAATAGCTGTTTCAGCTTCAACAAGAAGCCTGGATTACAGGTCCTCGCTTTCTACCAAGCCGGTATTCAATGTCAAGTGAGATGGGTTGGCTTCAGGTTGAAACGCTGCTTTGATGTCTAGTCCCTGATCTGAAAGTGCAGCATAGCGACTAGCTGAGGGCCGAACTTTTTTTGGTTTGGTGCTCTGTGGCTGCTGATGCCACTGGGCTACAAAAAAAAAAAAAAAAAAAAGAAATTAATCAAAATATAAGTGGAAAGCCCTTAGATGTTGAATAAATACAGACTGTTTTTTCATATAAAATGGGTACATATTCATATGAAAAAGATCACTGCATTTAATCATGCTGTAGATTTATTGGCTGTACAGCATATGAGACTAGCAGGAAGATAACCATGACAAAGTATAGTTTATAGTTTGCAGCACAGGAGTCATTTTAAGTAGTTGCTAAGTTTCCTAATTCTCACCTCCCCTTCTTAAATTCTTCAAAGCTCAAAATATATAAATCCCACAATAATGATACCAGTTAGGTATGGGAGGGATGTTTTAATACCATTAGTTAAAAGGAATTGAGCAGTAGGGAGGGATGATGCCATTCACTTTCTGAAGCAGAACCTTACAAAATAATTTCTTATTCAAGAAGCAAAATATGAAATCACTTAACTTTTTTCTAGTAGTTTCCTTGAAGTAGAGTTCATGTTATTGTAATAGTTTATAAATTTAATAGGCATTATTTTCAGTTTATGATTGATGTACACAAATATATACACACAAATAAACCTATTGCTGAACTGCTTAATTTTGTCAAGAAGAGTACTAAACCACAGAAGTAAGCATTCCAGGATCAAAGGTATACACATTTACAGGACATTAAGATACCGTGATGGGGGAAGTGTTAAAAGTCAGTCATTCGCAGACACAAACATGAAAAGGTGAAAAATGTGGCAATGCCTTTTTGCCAGGATACCGTTAACTTCTAAGGATGCTTGTAAGGAAGCCACAAGTGACTAGCCAACATGCATATTCTACTAGGAATGAAAAGTTAATCAGTAGATACTTTGGGTATAGTTCTCCTTGTGTAGTTCACTATTGATGCTGAGAAATTATAAATAGAGAAAAAGCAATATGAAATTTTTGGCAAGTTAAACTATAGCTGTTCTTAAGACTATATAAAAGGAATGTGGGTTTTGCTGCCCAGATGTCTATTTTTTTCATAATTTTAATGAATGTGGTGAGATGAAGTGGCACTCACTGTACACGTCCAGCCTGGCAGTACAGGACACAATCCCCGCTTCATTCTTGGCCGACACTGTATACCACCCCGCGTCGTCTTTTGTGGCTCCTTGAATGAGCAGGCAGATGTAGCCATAATTATCCTGGTGCATGCTGGAGAAAGGATAAAGTCATTAGGGCTCTAAATTTTTAAAAAGTGGCTTTGGACACGAAGCATCATTTTTAATTAGATCATTAGAAACAGAATTGTGCAAGTAGCTGATAATAGGGTCATACTTATTCTGGAGAGGCTGCGAGATCCATTAAAGTTAATGGGGGAGAAGAGCAGATGTCAATAGGTTGAATAAATCTGTACACTTGATTTCTAGGCGAGGATCTGCTTTTACAAAAACCAAAGAATAGTTTCTCTGTCATCACTGAAGCAAATGTGAATCCATCTTTTCTTTTAGATTAAAGGCGTAAACACACACAAATCACGTTTAATCATAACTAAAGGGACAGCAGATTTCTGCCTTTGATCTCATCAAAGAGCAGAAACCTTGCATTTCATACATTTGTAGGACTGAGCAGTTAGGGATTAGATTATATCATTGTATATTCTTACCTCACTCGGTCAGTGTTGTGAGTGAGTGACTCATTTTCTTTCTTCCAAAAGATTTGTGGTGGTGGCACTCCTGAAACACGGCATTCCAGTCGCACTGGGTACCCGTCAGCAACTCCTGTGTTTTGTAGTTTTTCCAAAAATACAGGTGGCTTATGTGCTTCCTTAGCTAACAAAATGAGATCGGTTATCAGTGATGCACTACAAAGAATGCAGAAGTGTTTAGAAATATTGCTTAAATAGACCCTTTTTTATGGGATCATTTTTCACTCAGGTAGTGAGAGGCTAGTCCTCTCTAAATTACTCTTTTGTCAGGAAAAGTTCCTTTGCTTTATTCCACTCAATCAGTTTAAGGCTGACAGGCCCACACAGTGCACAGGCCATCTGCTCCACAGAATGCCCGTCTGACGGTCTGCAGAGATGCGTAAGGCAATGCTGGCATCTGGGATGGCTGCAGTATAATTATGCCCTGAGTGCTCACAGCCTTTACCAAACACTGCCACCTAGTGATTCTGAAGGGGAAAACTATTTTTAGGAATTGTATGTACTTAGAGTATCTGAAATGTATGCTAGAAGAATATAAATCTTGGCTTAAGTGAGACATACCATGTGATTTAAAGGGGGTGGCATCATTATCTAAATCTAGAAGTTTTACTAATTAGAAAAGTAGTCTATGGATTACAAATTTTAATTAGTATTTGAGGGATACTATAAAAATACAACTTTATTACTTAGCCTAAAAGTATCAGAATTAATTGTTAATTACACTGGTTTTTATCATCTTATGGGAAAAATTTTTTTTCCACCCCAGTGGAAACAGATGCAGTTATCTTTGGCACTATCAGCTATAAATGTAAGGAGGCATGTCTTCCCTTTTCCCACAACCCCCTTCTCAGAATGTGACAAATTATAAAAGTTAAGTAGTCAGGGAGAACCAGGTGAAGTTAAAATTTTGCCTGGAATTTAAGATTTATTTATGCATACAGAAGTGGGTACAGGCCAGGGGCAGTAAGAGGATTCACCAGAGATAGAGTGGGGAGCAGAGCAGGCTGACTAAGTACACTGCTGAGAAGAGCAGTGGGTGGGTGGGTCAGGAGAGGTCTGCTGGGCCATGTTGATCACCTCCAGGGTGGAGATTGAACTTGTGCTGAAGTGGCTTTAGCTTCTTAGTGCTGTGCTTTGACCTGCTGCACCACCAGGGAGGGCCCTGCCTGAAATTTTTAAGTATCTTATAAACACCTCTGTAATTCAAGATCTGAGAATTAGATTTTTATTGAGCTTTTTACATGGTTATCTGACCTGGCCTATTTGGGAGGAAAGTGGGAACAGAACCTCACTCTGTATTCTTCCTGGATCTCGGTGTTGAAAAGAGCATAAAATATAGATAACCAGGTGAGTGTCATAGCAACTTCCCCGTGACTGCCATGCAGGATATTGCTGATGGAGCTTCATACACTTTTCATAATTTCATAAAAACTCTGAGACTAGTCCTATAATAGAGCTGTTGTGACAATCAACTGAAAATCAGGTATATGAAGTGCTTTTTGCAAATCTGAGAAATCATATTTTAAAGAAGAACATCAGAATCTTCTGCCTACCTCCTAAGGAGAGTAGACATATTTCTAAGTATGTGTTTTCTTTATGGGTCAGTCTTCACATTATAATATTTTCATAAAACTTACCTAAAGCAAATCTGAGTTTAATTTGACTACTGGGCAGAAATTATGTTTAAATATACTTTAACTTCAGATGCCAAAGAATGGGTATATAGAGAGCTTTAGGCATAAGCTGATTGGTACACATCAGGTTTGGCTTGTGGACTCCATTCAGCTGCTGTTCTTTCCCTGTGAAACAGTGTGACCATCATGCACATGAGAGCTAGAAAGGCCCAGGAAAGTGATTAAAATCCTTTGCTCCCTTGGCCAGGCTTATCGGAACAAAAAGTAGCAATGGCTACACTGAAGAAAAGTTAGTTTCTAATGCACCCATAAGCCTTTTATCATGCCCAAATAGGCTATTTTGATAAGATCTATATTTCAGCAGCTTGACTTATTTTCCGTATTGGTCAGTAAATGCAGGATTAGTTTACATTCTTAACACAGATAAGCCTACCAGCAACCACGAGCTCCAGGCTGAATGAGTTCTGGCCTGCCCGATTGGTGGCGGTACACGTGTAGATGCCAGCATCTCTGGAGCTGACGGGCTCGATGATGAGAGAGTGCACCCCATTCTCACGCACCAGCATCTTGTGGGCACTGTCAGGGCGTATTGGCTTGCCATCCAGTTGCCAGCTTAGATCTGGGGTGGGTAACCCACTGACCTAAACCACAAAGGAAATGACACAAATTTTACTACAGAGAGAATGAAATTGTTAATAGCTAAGAAAACACATTAAATTCCTCCTCTAAAAGGATGAGGTTTAGTACCAACTTAGGTTTTTTACCTTTGTGCTTAAAATCTTTCAGTCACTTTCAGAACACTTCATATGTTTACTTCTATACATTTCTTACAGGGCAGTGTAGAAAAAAGTGAAATAAGGATCAGAAGAATTTCTGTCACTTACCTCACTCAGGATTATAAGAATGAGAGCAACAGGGCTCTAAGCTCTTAGGAACAAAGATGTCCCAACACAGTAACAAGTACTCAATGGGACTTACACTGTGAAGCTGCTCATCTGAGAGTTGCAATAGCTATGGTGACATGAGTTCATGCATCCATCAGCACACAGGACTATTATTTTATAACCCTTGAAACTAAGTAACAAGAGCAATACAAAATTACCCAGAAAGCCTTCTCAACAGATTAGCATCACAATAACATCATAAAAGCATTGAGACCATGCCAGTTGTGTTGACCAGAGATAGATAAAAGCACATTTAATTGCTAATAACATGTGCTGTGAAGGGTGGGGATGGTTGCCATCTGTCATCTCTTTACAGTTCTGCCCTTGATTTTGAATGGGGAGAAAAGTACCATTCAGAAAGGCCTTTTTACCCCCACTCCAAATTTATTAGTAGGAAATTATATACAAAAAGAATGTCAGCTGCACAGAAATAATTCTGTTGAAGAACTAGCTCTACCAAAATCAGCTGGAGACCTGACACATTCCATTCCTGCTTGTGGTATTTATAGTGTTTAGAAGGTGCCGCCTCCTTACACATGCAGCAAAGGTGTAGAAAATTTATTTTTTTAAATCATTTTGTTGTAATTTTTTAAAATAAGTTTACTTTTACATCATTTTGTACATTTTTTTTTTTCATCTCAGTTGTAATCCCCGTGGGTTTCCCAGGGTCTAGAAAATTTAAAGGGAAAAAATTAAATTACTGGTTAACAGGCTAAAGAACATTTACACACAAATAGTTTGGCTTCTGAGAGGTTCTGTGTGTTCCTATCTGTCTCTTATTCCCCAGCCCTTGAAAGAGACAGGGGACACTGGGCAGGCTCCAGGCCTTTCTCAATGCTTGTTCCAAATTTACTAGGTCACATCCTAAACAAGCAGGGCCATGCGTTAAAGCCATGGACTGTGCAATAGGAGAGTTGCCCAAAGCACTGTGTTGTTGCTTTAGGCCCCTAGAACACAGCGTTATCTGTGCCTGAGCAGTTATTCATGTTAAGAAAACCCTCAGCATTCCTGTTTACTTAAAGAAAACCTGATCTCAGGACCTGAAGAGTATTATAACGAGGTGATAATTTTAACAAATTGTGATTTTGGTTGATGTGGAAATGGGAGGAGGCAAAAGAATATGCTATTACTAGAGGAGCTGGACTAGTACTGAGCATGTCCATATCTAGGGACATGCGTAAGGTTAAGTTGGGCTGGGGGCTGCTTTGGCAGTGAGAACCTAGTGTCACTATAGCCACTGGTTCTCATGATTTTTCTTCCTTTAAAGCTTAAGTACAGTGATCGCACCTCCCCTCCCTCAAGCTGGTAACCTCTCCATTTGTTCATGTTAATAACATTTTGTATTTGTTATTTATCCAGGTTGCATCATATCACTGTGAAATTAATAAACAGGGATTGGTTTCTGTTTCTAGTATTTTTACAAAAGTGTTTTTACTTTGCTAAGTTGCTTTTCAATGAAATACTGACATCTTAGATACAATCTGAAGTAGAGCTGATACTATGGTGATTCTCCATTATAGGGTCTTGTAGGTCTTGTAAGAAGTGAGGTCTGAAGAATTGCTCCTGAATTGGTTCATTTTCATCTGTACTGTCCACTTTTTGTAATTTTTTAGTATTTTAAAGTACATCTCAGACTTTGTATGACCTTAAGATACATTTTTTAGATGAAACATTTCTTTTTACACCACAAAAAGTCCTTTGGTAATTTCCTGCTCTTGAGTCAAATGTCATTTTACAGATGGTCTATCAATAGACTAAAAATACAAATAACACTGTTGGATTAGTTAAGACTTTATACATTTCTAGAAGTCCAGATGTACATTTTGAAAAAACATAATTCCCCTATCTTTATATTTTACAATCCCAGAAAGAACCAGCAGGGAGCGCCCACGCAATTTTGCTTAAGAGCTAAATTTTAAATTAGAGAATTTCTGAGCAGTGGATCTTAAACATTTTGACCTTAAGATCCTAGGGGAAAAAAATGACAGTTCACATATCTAATTAATCTTCCCACCCAAGGACCCTGGCTTAAGAAATCTTGCAATAAAACTGCTACACAGTTTCTCCAAAATTACTAATGAGAAATGATTGATGAGGGGAGAAGGGGAGCAGAAGATGTGTAGGAAAGAGCAGATGCTTACTTTGCAGTCCATTCTGCAGAGCTTTCCTTCTTGAACAGTCAGATCTCCTGGAGCCTGTAAGAAGTGAGGTCTGAAGAATCGCTCCTGAATTGGTTCATTTTCATCTGTACTGTCCCTTGATCTGGAACGAGGTCTTTAAACAGATAATTAATCATTTCTACTAGTTAGAAGCTTTTAGTCATCTTTTTAAAAATAATGAAATATTTTTACCTGTCTCCTACCTCAAGGTTTATAGGTAAAAATCTCAAAGAGGCCAATCTTGTTTCATTTGCAAGTTCATTATAAATTTAACAGTATGCTAACTGCAGATCTTAAATAAGTTTGCTGTTCTAATACTTAAAGCTAGCGTACATCATCAAAGGGAAAATGGGAAGAAAACGAGGGATTTTCTATTAACTATTTTTACATAAATATTTTCAAAGCTGTATGAGAAGCAGCTGTAGCTCATTTATTGCCAAATCTTTTTCCATGGAATTACTGTAACTTTACACAGTGATTTTAAATATGTAGAAAGGTAAAAGTTCTTATTTTGTGAAATTTAGTATCTTTCTCATCAAAATCCCTTTTCATGTTAACCAGGAAAACAACATTTTTTTTTTTTAAAGATTTATTTATTTATTCGTACAGAACTGGGGTACAGGCCAGAGATGTGGAGGGTGAGAGGATTCACCAGAGACAGAGCGGGGAGCAGAACAGGCAGATCGACGAAGTACACTGCTGAGGGGAGCAGCGGGCGGGTCAGGAGAGGCCTGCCTCGCCATGTGGTTGCCTCCGGGGCAGGCGGGGATCGAACTCATGCGGAAGTGGCTTCAGTTTCTTAGTGCAGTGCTTTAACCCGCTGCGCCACCAGGGAGGGCCCGAAAACAACATTTTAAGGCAGGTTTTCTACTGTATTATCTATGCATGTGCCTAAAGACATTTCTTGCTTTATAATAAATTCTGCAAAAGTCCTAGGCTTTGTGCATCCCTGTAGCTTTTAAATATGCTACTAGAGGCACCTTTAAGAGCAACACAATTTAAAGTAACTGCAGAGAAACATTAAGAGCAAGATGGTGAATACAAAATTCTGTTAGCAATCATTAGACAATAAGTTTAAAAACACACATCTAGAGACAAATGAAAGATTAGTTTAATAGCCTAGTAATTATCAACTTTTTGATAGTTTACTCTTGAACTACAGGTTTAATTTTTAAATTAAGAGACACAGGAATAAAAGGACATTATGGCACACAGGAAGCTGAAATGTATTGAAGACCGCAGGAGAAGCAGAAAAAAGTTATGAAGGGAGATTACTAAATAGGCTGTGTTCAGAGCCTGGCACTAGCCTGGCACTCCTGAGTACGAGCAGACTCACTGGAATCCTGTCTGCCTGCACGCAGGTGCCAGGGTGGTTTTGAACAAAGGGTTCTGTAGCTCCAGTCACACAAGGAGGTGCAGACATACTACTGCATGCGGCACTTAGGCAGTCTCACCTGCCTATATCCTGTGAGCTAACTTAGTTCGCTTTCTCTTCACCAAAGGTGCCGCAAGGTGTTTGCACCACCTGCTGTTTGTAGCAGGGCTGTCTGTAAAATATGTAAACAGGAGCCTCAAATGACAGGCTATTTGACTGCAGGTTTTCTTTAAGTGCAAATATGTTACTAAGAAGTAATATCTTTTTCATCTGCCACTATTCACTCAGCATCCCTGCATCGACAGTGGGCTACTAAGAATGGAATAGCAGATTTTTGTTGCGCCTTTAAAGTGATATATGTTGTAAAACTTTTGAAGTTAAGTGATTACAAAGTGAACATGGGCACACTGAACGATTTTTAAGAACTCTAGCAGTGGTAGTTTATAATGGGCAACACACACATCTGTTAGCTACAGAAGTTTGCTTAGCAACACTTGGTTACCACTGACGAGCATATTGTTACTTTTGTGCCTATCCCTAAATGTGCTCAGTCCATTTCTTCACACAGAAATTGAGCCCTGTTTCAACAATTTAGTGGTAGTACATTCGAATGGCCTTCTGTCTTCCAATAATGTTCACTTTCATGGTCATGCTCTGGCTCTCATACTGTTGAGTCTAGCCCAGTGACACTACAGGAAGGGTGTCTGAAGTACCTTCTGACATGAGGATGGCCTGATGGAGAGCGGGGACTGCGGCCTCTCTGGTTCACAGCCTGTACCATTAGTCGTCCAGTACAACTGATTCGGCCCTGTCAGAGACATTCAGAAAATTAATTGCTATGCAAAACAATTAGCCATGAAGTACTCACATGCCTGTCTGTTCTTCATAAGACATTATTTCATTTTGTAATGTGACCAAAAGTTATGACATCAACCCCTCTCAGGAATGTATTTTCCTTGGGAGAAACTCTTCAGTAACACTGAAGAAATCAAGTGCCAGTAGATTTCCTTACTTTGTGCCTATCCCTAAATGTGTGAACTGTTAAATATGTTCTACTGTTTTATCTACTAAGATCCCTCTAACACAACACGCTGAGTTGTAAAATACAGTGATTAAACCATGAATTCTATTTTCATGGTCATATTCTAAGGTACAGCTAATTCTGAAATCAAACTGAATGATTTCAATAATGTATAATAATGTATTTAACAAAAGTTAATGGTATATCTTCCAAAAAGATGGTCTCACACTAAATTATTACGTAAGAAGTGCTCATGGGGGTGGACAATGGAGCACATTGTATGAAGGACAGGAAATGAACATACTTGAAAATACCACAGCCAGTTTAAATACCTAATAGAAATGGGTCATTTCATGAAGCCCATATAATGAAAAGTTAGATTATACAGCAGTCATAGCAAATGCAGATGGCATGGGGATGTCACCCATTGGCATTTGGGCTTTTTGATTTAGCCTGTTCATTTTTTCCTCATTGTTATTAGCAGAGTAGCAAAATAGGTGATTTCTGCCCCCCCCAGCCCCCCCTTCTTTCTCATTTCCCAGGAACTCATGTGGCTGTACAAACTATACCTGTAGGTCATTTCCAGAGCAATGCAACAAAGTGAACTGTGTAATAGAATTGCCTGAAAAACATACACATCTTTAAAATATTGCTAACAATGATAGTCGTCATCTGAGCCTTTATAGCAAGTTCTGATCTTTACTAGTGGAGGATCTTGCCTCCCTGTTGATGGCTGCTAAAGGCTGGGCTAGTTGTGACAGTCTCCTCAACTAAAACAACAAAGAAGTTTGCTGCATAAATTTCTCTGTGGCAGTTTGATTCTCTTTGATAGTACAAAATTCCTTTAAACTAACTAGTATTTTTTCAAGTTTATTTAATTCTCTAAATCCTTTTGTAGTCATTTCAATAACATTTACAACATCTTCGCCAAGGCTAGGTTTCAGCTCAAGAAACCACTTTCTTTCTGTCAGCTTTAATCATGAGATTGCACCATCACATCTGACCTCTGAAGCTATGGAGGGAACTGCTAGGAGACTGCAGCATCAGCCACATATTCAGTGGCTCCCCCTAAAGTCATCCACTATGGTTGGGATCAGCTTCTTCAAAACTCCTGGTAATGTAGATATTCTGATCTTCCCCTATGAATCATAACTGTTATAGTGGCATACTGAATTGTGGATGCCGCCCAAAGGTTTCAGTTGATTTTGCCAGCCCAGCAGAGGGAATCACTGTGAAATCTACAGCTTTATGGAATATATTCCTTAAATAAGACTTAAAAGTTGAAATGACTCCATGGGCTACAGAATGGATGTTGTGTGAGCAGACATGAAAACAAGATGGATCTATACATTTCCATCTGAGCTCTTGGGGTGTCAGGTGCACTCTCAGTGAGCAGCAGGGTCTCAACAGTGGCCTGAAAGAGCCAGGGAACCATGCTGTAACAGATATGCTGTCATTCAGGCTTTGCTGTTCTGTTTGTAGCACGCAGGCCCAGTAGATTTATATAACCCTGCAGGGTCTGAGGGTTATCAGATGGTGAATGAGCAGTGGGTTCAACTTTAAAGAGAGTTGACCTGCTCTTCAAAGTTTAAAGCCAGGCACTGACTTCACCGCTCTGCCTATCAGTTCTATAGCACACCTTCTTCCAAAAGAAGGTTGCTCTACCTATGTTGAACATCTGCTTAGTTTAGCCACTTTCTTCCATGATCTTAGATTTGGATCACTTGCTGTAGTTTTAGAACCGCACTTGCTGTTTCACCGTGCACATGTCTGTTATAGAGAGGACTTCTTTATTTAAACCTCATGAACTGACTTCTGCTAGCTTCAGGTTTTCTTCTGTAGTTTCCACAACTCCAGAGAGTTGAAAAGAGTCAGGCCTTGCTTTGGAATAGAATTTGGTTTAAGGACTGGTTTGAATTTCTTGCCAGGCCACTAAAACTTTGTTCACATGAGCCGTAAGTCTGCTCTGCGTTCTCAGCACTCGATTTTGACTGGAGTAGCACTTTTAACTTCCTTTAAGAACTTTGGCTTTGTCTTCACAACTTGGCATAACTGGTATGAGTGGCCCAGTCTTTGTTGGCTTTCAGCATGCCCTCTCCCTAAGCTCAGTAATTTGCCTAGCTTTGGCTGTAAAGTGAGATGCGCTGCTCCTTTACTTGAGCACTTAAGGGACCATAGTAAGGTTCTCAAGTGGTTAAAATTCTAAATTGTTATGTCTCAGTAAACAGAGAGGCCTAAAAAATTTGCCATCTTATTTGGGCATGGTTGGAGTGCCCCCATAATGACAACAACAATAAAATCACTGATCACCACAACAGAAATGACTAATGGAGCATCTCTTAGAAATGTTTTCTCCATATACAGTGGCTTTTATTTTTTTAATTAGGATGAATTTGCACCAAAGGAAAAAGAAAATATCCTTAGCAAGGAAGCAGCATATGTGAAGATCCACCTTTTTAACTTATACTAGTGCTGGCAGGGTGTCACACGCATGGTACATTTAATGTGTTTATGTCATGGCTGCATTTGGGGGGTAAAATACAGTCAGCTCTAACACCATCACTGCCCACACACGAAGCCCTGCTTCCTTTCCCCTTACCAAAAAAAGAAAAAAAGGTTGGCATACTCTTCTCTAAAGATTAGACATGTTTCTGTGGTCTTCAAGACTTTTACTGCTATTCCTTAAAGGGATGTACATAAATATTGCCAGAGTATTTACTTCTTAAATTTAAGAAAAATTATGTTATCACTTGTCACCTTTTAACTCCTACACCATCCTTCACTTCTGAACATGAAGGGAAAAAACAATCTTTAGGAGGCAGAATTATCAGTTTGATAATACAGCATTGTTGGTTAAATGTTACTGTCCAGCAAGTGATAAGGAACATTTTGAAAACATCCAAATGAACTGGCCGTATGATTTTGCTATTACTTGGGAGAAAAATCCAGAAATTAATGGAACATTTTTGAAAAGAAGCTCCAGTGTGAACAACTAAATTATCATCAATAATTTAATCATCCTAATGTGCTAGTTAACTGTGGTAATCACAACAGTTAACAGGCTCTGATGCACATTAAAGCTGTTGCATCTGCTTTTATTAGCATTTTCATTTCCATCTACTTTATTATTAACACATAATGTAGTAATGGAAATGAAGGTTGAAATGAGCCAAGAAGCCTTACAATGGTTAAGACAGAATAGTCAGTAAACTAGCTTTTTACATTTAACTCAGCTGCATATATCACTTTCCTATTGCAAACAAATCCAAGAGTTTAACGCTGTGTAGTAACCAGTAATGAGTGATTCAGTATTAACATCCAGCTGTGAATATTTCATTCAAGGCCAACTATTTACAAAATATCGAAATAACATTTATATGTCCTAGTTTATGAAATTTAACTTGGGGCACACAAATCTTTATCAAAGCTTGCCACTTGTATATATACTGCAATTTGAGTAAACTGCAAAGAGCCATTTCAGAATGCAGATGCAGTACAGAGTAACTTAGCAACCCCACAAAACAAAGTAAAACATGTGTGTTTAGATTTAGTTGTGTCTTAAAGATAGGATTAGAGTCTAAAATAAACTCAGTTTGTGACCCTCCTTTTGGCACTGTGCTTGGTGGAAGGCTGCACACACCACACACGCCTCACCCCTGGGCGGCCTCGCTTAGAGCGCGGGCTCCGGCCCAAGTGGACTCTGGACGCATCACAGTGTCTAACGTGTCCTCTCAGTCCCAGAAGATCAAGCCAGATGGAAACTATGCTACACTCTGCTCAACTTTCCTTTTTCCTTGGTCCTTACTCTTTTTCTCAGCTGTGTATAACTTTCCTATTGCCAGCAAATCCAAGAGTTTATTTAAAGCTGTGTAGTAACCAGTACTACACATTTTCTGTAAATTTTTTCCACTACCGCCTGTGTTTCATTACTGAAGTCATTTTCCACTCCAGCCTTTTGTTCTCTTCACTTCACATCTTATGTAGTTGTTTCTTTCAAGCCCAAATACTTTTAAAAATGTGGGGGAAAACCTAAAGGCATCAAGGCCAATGGCAGTTTTCTGTTGACTGCATATTATGCTTCTGGGATTAAGTTTGACATTTGAGATCTTACTTGTGACATACTTTTTGGTGCTGGCTTGCTCTTTTTAGATCATGTTTTAATTCACAAATTACAAGAATTGCCACATACTTCTGGAGACAACAGACACCATAAAGTTGAGACCATGTTAAAGTCAGACACGAGAACCTATGTTAAGAGTTAGGTACAAAAATTCTCTGCCACTTTAAATACCATTTTGCTTTATAAGAGGTAACACAGTCAATCTAATTTCTAGGTATCTCTATGTAAAGCTATACTTGAAGTATTTAACCCATATCTGCTGCTGAAATGCTAGAATTGAAAAGGAATTTGAAATTATATCAACTCAGCAACTTGGAGCAGCAACTACTAAAAGTGCTGTAAATATCCAAATTGCCTCACGATTTCAAATTTGAAGTTCAAATGCCCATTTTTAGGTTTCCTGTTCTTACTGAAATCTCCCAAGCTCCCTGGTCATTTAGATAGAAAAGGAGACTTTCAGTCCTGCTTTCTTTAGCTAGTGTTTGGGGGTGGAACAACTAACCTTGAGAGACAAATGCAATTCCAGGTAATAGGAACTGCTCAGGCTCTTGTCCCCTGGGCTTCCTGGACTCTTCCCTTCCTACTGAGCATCCAGCTGTCACGCTACTGTCTGCTAAATTGCAGGTGGGATGGATGGGTGGGATACTCTGTCAGAGGCTAGGCTTTTGGTCAGCTTCTCATTTCTTTACCTTCACGTCAAAGGCAAAGAACCAAAGGGGCTTAACTGAGGCTTCCCCAGTGCCACAGGAAGGCAGTGGCCACAGCCCGGGCCCTGCGTGTGCGGGGAGCAGCGCCCTGGCCGGATGTGCGGATCGTGCCTCCACCCACGCCTGCCGCCGAGCTGCCTATGAGGATGGGAAAAGGAAAAGCCAGGGAGTCAGAGACCACCCCCCAGCAACATGCGGGGCACGAATTCCATCCCCACAGTACTGTGAGAGCAGAACAGCTAGAGGCTGGCTGATCCTTTCATGTTCCAATTCCCAGGCTTCTGCCCACTCTAAGACAAGATTGTTGAGGTCTTATAATAATAATGCGCTATTTACATAGCACATATTTTACTATGTGCCAGGTAAATTAGGTGCTTTATAGGCACAATTTAAATCCATATTATTCTCATTTCATAGAAGAAACAGTCATAGGGTTAAGTAACTTTTAAAAGTCACATAGGACATGAGTGGCAGAGGAAGATCCAACTCAGATCTTCCTAACGGCACTGTTCTCACCCCCACACTAGCCACCGTGGCTTTCAGTGCCAGCAAGACCGCACTGTGAGTCTGCTCTTGGCCGTTTCGTCTCTCTCTTCCCCCTTTTCTATGTTCATAGCGGGGACCTTGAGTAGCCTGCATTTATCAAATGACTTAATCAGAGATGCCAGCAGTTCCCATGCTCACAGACTACCCACTGAGGCTGGCCTGCTCTCTCCAACACTCACACCATGAACAGCTAGTCTCTCTGCTCGGGACTTTCCTACATATCACAATAGCAGATTTACATTTATATTGTTTTGTTCTACAAAATTGCTTATCCCAATAGCAGTTTAAAACATTTGCTAGGAAAAATGCCTGAAGTTAATAGCAGGATCCCAGCACTAGCAAGTACTTAAAGAACATAGTTATTTTTATCTCTGTAATATAGCCCAGCCTTTTTAGTGGAAAGAGGAATAGAAAGCCCAACATGAAGAAAAGTTTTGGATTTTGTAATAATTCTCCACTACCTTTTTAGTAGGGGCAGGGGAGCAACTGAGAATACAGCAAGGGGGAAAAAAAATACCACATTTTTTCTCTCAAGTACATCAAACACAATAGTATTAACATCTACCGCTTTAGTAAAAGTTGAGATTAATACTTTCATTATTTTTCAGGGTGATTGCTAAGTTTGTATCACTGACAAGAAAAATCAGAACCTCAAGATGGTGCATGAATATGGAAACATTTTGTTGACAGTGAATCATTTGCTCTGTGCTCAGCTGTGAATAATTTGAGTGTTTTAATTTATTATTATTGCAGAGATATATATTTATGACTAACATTAGGAAGGGATAAATATTGTACAAATTTTTACAAACTTATAAACTTTGCTAGACTTATTTACATAATAAAATTGTTAATTTTAGCTTTTAAAAAAAATGTTACTTCCTTGCCTTCTGTAGACTTTATAACATTTACCTGTCACACATTGAGTTCCTAGGGTTTAAAAAAAGCATAGTTAATGTAAATTATACAAGATAGATAATTAAATAAAGTCCTCTTTTGAATTTTTCTGCTATAGCCTAAGTATGCCCTTTCTCCTTTTTTGCCTTTGAAGAACTTAAATACAGAAAAGATTTCAGATAGGACTGTTTGCTAGTTTATTTTCTATCCAGGATTAGTCCTTGTCCACCACTGCAGCCTGATCACCCCGTCAGATTTGTCACAAGGCCCTCAATACTGTTTGTGGAGAAAGTGCACTTCTGCACTGCAAGTATTCTTGCAGAAAATATCTGATGCAATTAATATATACTCAGGAAACAATTTTTCTCTCCTCTGAAGCCAGGTGCATACAGAGCTTGGAAAAAGTTTCATGGCAAAGAGGCATGACCCACCTTTTAGTGAGATGGCTCCTCTGGCTGAGAAATTGCCTGTCAGGACTCCAGTCTGAGCCCAGAGCTGCACTTTCCTTACCTGAGGGTTGGCAGCCATAATGGTGTAATTCCCATCATCATCGAGGGTGGAGGCTGTGGTGTGCAGAGAGCAGGTCCCGTCAAGATCTTTTTGAATGATGTAGTGATCATTCTTTGGAGAGATCTGTTTCCCATCCTTAAACCAGTAGATCTGTGAAAGGAAACAGATGTATGAATAGATATTTACACTCATGTATTATCTACATAAAGGGATCTATATCAAATGTTGATAGTGACTATTTCTGAGGTAACATTATAGGCATTTTTCTTTTTGCTTCTTTCAACTTTCACATGTATTGACAACTAAATCATACCCCTTGTACAGTGAGGTTAAAAAGGTTGTTTTAGAGAATAAAAACAAACTCTAAACTGTCATTATTCCACTGAAATATGTTATATAAGTAAAAAAGAATGGCGATTGGCCCTCCCTGGTGGCGCAGCGGGTTAAAGCACAGCACTGAGAAGCTAAAGCCGCTTCCGCATGAGTTTGATTCCCGCCTGCCCCGGAGGAGACCACATGGCGCAGCAGACCTTTCCTGACCCGCCTGCTGCTCCCCTCAGCAGTGTACTTCCTCGATCTGCCTGTTCTGCTCCCCACTCTGTCTCTGGTGAAGCCTCTTGCCACCCCTGAGCCTCTGGCCTGTACCCCAGTTCTGTATGCACAAATAAATAAATCTTCAAAAAAAAAAAAGAATGGTGATTATTGCGGCATTGGTGGTGGGCATGGTGTGGAGATACATAGTTGTAGAAGCATAGAAGCTTAAACTTACAACCCCAAAGACAGGATGACGTAAACCAACTACACCTCAATAAACATAATTTGAAAAGCAAAAGCCAAGCTAAAAACAGGATGTATTTTAAAACACATAATATTTCATACTCTAGTAATCCTCGCATAATTTATGTAACAAACAGAAGAAATGGTTCTTCGATAGACCAGGGAGAGAAGAATATTTTCTTCCCTTAGCAGTATAGGAAAGGAAGGGGGAGGATGAAAGAATAAAGCCTCACAATGAAAAGATATTAAAAACAAACTGAGCCTCTTGTGCTGTGAAACATTTAAATTTGTACTAGAAAAAGCACAGTTATGTTAAAGACAAAGCCCATCTTTGAAGTGCACACGCACTGGACAGTGCCTCTGTGAATGCAGCAGTTACGGTTACGCCAGGAGCGTGGTGAGGCACTGGCCTCTGACAGCACTTTATTCTAAAAGTCTCCTTTCCGTAGGAGGTGGATTTGGGTTTGAAAACTTCAGGCTTTTTTTTGCCCTAACCTTCTGACTATGGGTTGAAATTTGGTTTTGGGAGGAGGTGATGGGACGATTTACCTTACGGTGAGAACAAGCTGTGTGGAGCAGCAGCGTGGCCAAGCGCACGAGACGGGTCGTCACTTCCTTCCTCAGTCCCTGCTTGTCATTTCTGTTCTTTCACACCACTGTTCAGTGGTGCTTTCTTCATTTCTATTTGCCAATTTTTCAAACTTGTATTGCCTCGTACTGTCCTGTTCTTTAAATTTCTATTCCCTTTAAAATGGCTCCAATCGTGGTTATTTTATGGTCTCCTCGAGATGACTGTGTCAAACTTGGGCTTCTGTTTTCCTGTCTTTTGTGCTATTGACTCCCCTCATTGTTATTTCCTCATATGGTTTCTAAGTTTTTGCTGTGAACTCACATTGCCTCACTCTACACTGAGAAGTCTGATACACCCCAACGTATTAAGGTGTCCCACAGCGTAGTGTTTTGCCTTCTGCCAGAAAACTAAGCATTTAAATTATCCTGTATGAAATTTCCTATTTTTCAGCTTTAGACTTCCTGTTACGGACAATGTAAACCTGGAGTTCCAGTTTCTCATGCGATGTGCCTTTTCCATTTTGTCCTCTAGTCTAAGGGGAAAGTGCAGTCTTGTCTCATACTTTGCTGGGCCAGTGAGCAGTTACTCTAGTCTCCCTTTAAACAGGGAACACGTGATGTAGCATTACCACATGTCCGCAGGGAAAGGGCTCTCAGCCAGGTCAGCCTAGGCCTCGTGAATATGACAAGTTTCTCACATTTAAAGATTTTTAAAATATTTATTTATGCATACAGAACTGGGGTCCAAGCCAGAGGTGCAGGGGCAGTGAGAGGATTCATCAGAGACAGTGGGGAACAGAACAGGCAGAAAGATGAAGTACACTGCTGAGGGGAGCAGCGGGCGGGTCAGGAGAGGTCTGCCGTGCCATGTGGTCACCTCCGGGGCAGGGGATTGAACTTGCACTGAAGCAGCCGCTTGCAGTGCTGTGTCCTTACCCGTTGCACCACCAGGAAGGGCCCCATGTTTCTTTGATTATCCACTTACAGAAGTATTCCTCTCCCCCCTCATCCCTTGTAAATATAGGAAGCCTTGGCTTTATAGATTAAAGAGCTGAAGCTTTAGTATCAGTGCTTGGCGTTGCTTCTCTGTGTGGTTCAAGCATATAGGGTACATGTCCTAACCTGGCCACTTACCAGCTTTCTGACCTTGCGAAAATTCATTGACCTCACTGAGCATAATTTAGTCATTTACAATTTGGGAACAACAATGACAATATCAGGAGTAAATAATGTAGGTGTGTGAAACATCCTTTATCAACTGCTTCACTATTATTAGTCTCTCCTCTACTCTCCTACCTACCTTGTGTCTGTTTCTAATGCCTCCTGAAGATGGCCTGGAACCTAACAGTGTTTCAAACATTTTACATGATGGGTATGGAGAAAGTTGGTATTTCTTCCTCCTCCCAGACACAGAACGCTGTATCTTGGAAGCTACAACTCTTCCCCCGAGATTATGCCTCTTTAAAAGCCCCGGTTGTCAGCTCACCTTTGGCTTTGGATTCCCAGTCACTCTGCACGTGAAAGTTACGGGCATCCCCTCAAAGATCTTGTAATGTTTCAGCTTCATCTCAAAGGTGGGTGCCATGCCATTTTCCACTGGCATGTCTCCATACTGAACCTCATCACCCGACTCATCCACAGGAGACCTTTCTAGTCTGTACTCGATTTCACTGATGAGTCTCTGTTCACAACTGGAGACTTTGTATTCCTAATCAAATAAAGCAAGATCATGTTAGCTACCTTATCCCTGGTGGTGTAATATGTCTCCTGAGTCTAATCCCCTTTCTAAGATGACACTCAGTAGACATTTATCATAGCACTTGAAAACAGTCTGAACCTAGTACAATTCCATAGAAGACAAAAACATCTGGAAATAAGTTTATGTGATTTTTCAAATTGTCTGCAAGTTTTATCATCCAAATAAAAAAGAAACTTTAGAAATGAATTTCTCTCTCTTTTCTCTTGGGCCACAGTTGAGGGGGGAAGACAAAGACTGTGCTTTCCTAACTGTTTGAGGATAGGACACATTTCTTCACATAAAAGCTGATGCAGGTGGTGCATCTCTCCAGAAGGATGAAAGTGTGTGTGGCAAGCAGTTGGAATACTGCAGAGCATTCATTAAACAGATAATGGGAAAAAATGGCACTGTGTATTTTTTTTTTTTACTCAAGACAGTCCTCAGCAAATAACCTCTACAGTCCTCCATAGATCTGTATCTGTTAGGAACTACTCTCCACTTTCTCCAGAAGAAAAACAGCATTGACAATGCAGTCATTTTAGCCAAAAAAAAAAAAAAAAGCAAAGTAGCGACTCTTATCACCATCTTATTGTGACGAAGATGTGTCCTACAATTCTTCTTTTGCTTACAAAATACAATGAAGACAAGGCAACACGTTATAAAGCAATATATTAAATAATGTTTTAACTAGTTCTTAAAGAATGCATTCGACATTAAAAAAAAAAAACTCAGTTTGATCAAACACGGGGGGTGGGAGGGGAAGGAAGTGCACTGGACAGTGGTGATGGCACACGGTGATGTGATAGGAAGCCCATGGGGATTGCAACTGAGATGAAAAAAGGCACAAAATGATATAAAAGTAAACATTAAAAAAAAGTATCCAAGTATTTTTGTCTAACTACTGTCAGTTTAAGAATTAGCACATCTGCCCTTAAAGATATAACCAGTGAAAAAAACTTCACAATTTGATTACAAGAAAAGCCACACCAGTATAATTATGTTCACTTGATCTTAAATGAAAGCAGACACTGGTCATGTAAATGCTACATGGTAGTGAAGAAGAGCTACAAGTAAAAAACCAAAAGAATATAGATAACAAAGATACAGTGAAAGACTGGACACAGAAGAAAGGCGAAAAGCTTAACCTTTTGACCATCCTGAGGACTCCCTACAGTAGTAGCATGAGGAGACCCAATTTCCTGTAATGGCAGAAAAAAAGAAGTGAAGCTAATATAGTATAATAACAATCTAGCAAGAATTTTAGTGCTCTGAAAGTGCAATTTTTGTGGTAGCACTATTTAGCAGAAAAACTTTCAGATTTTGAAGGCAGATCCCTTGATTAATATACACTGCAAAAGAATTTACTTGATCCTTCAAATTTCTTTAGAAAGGTTTCTTTTATCCTGAGGTTACATCTGAATTCTCCAAATAGAAGCAGTGAAGATTATGAAACACTATACATCAAATCCATAAAGTGACTATTTTTTGGTAGTAGCAGGGGAACAAGAACAGCATTTTAAAGTTTTCTGCTGACAGCTGACTTACAACTATGTGAAGGAAAATAGTTTCTCTATGCATGGATATTTTATTTTGACTAGACATTAAAAATTTAATGGGAAATAGTCACTATTTGTAGCAATTTTAATAAAACTGTGTTTGTACAAAACTACTTTGCAGTGAAGCACAGGATAGAAAAAAACAGCAAGATACTTGAAAGTAGAAAAAAATGATCAATAGGGAAGATAAATAGGTATCACCGACGGAAACAGTTCTATCAGTCATTCAACACAATATTCAGCTCAGTTTTGTGCTCAATAAATATCACCTATGGGGTTTATTGATGCTGTTAGCGCTTCTTTTCTTTGACTGCCCTCTACTTGCCACAGAAATGATCCCAAGAATAGCATCCACAGTGAGTATAGAAAGAAGAAACCAATAATCGCAATTTTTCCCAGAGAACCAGAGAAGCACAGTACCTGATGAGCTACTTCCTCTTCTGGCTCCTGAATATTAAAAACAGTTGCACTGTCAGCACCTAGTAATCGGCGAGCCATTCTTTCTTCATACGTTAATCTCTATTCAAAATAAATCACAGAAAACACAAAATTTGAAAAGTCACAACTATGAGTTGCCTCATGAAAAAATTTTTTTAAAAATCCCAACACAATTAGCGTTAATGGTTTCTGTTAGCTATCCTCTCTCCACCTTCAAATGCCTGTACACAAAAGGATGTTTTTCCTTGCTTCAGCTGTCTGTCTTTCATCTCCCCATTGGGTCCCAGTGACCTAATCCAGAGTTGGGAGATGGGGTAATTAATCTCAGCAGCCACCCCACTGATGTAGCATAAACTAAACAAGCATCAAAGAAGCCACACAGAAATACTTGTCACAGTCTCATTCTTAGCAAAAACTACAGAGAAAAAGACTCAAATAACAAAATAAATACTTGTGAAGGGGATGTTATTTCATAGTCATCCACAGGCTTCTGGACAGGCTGCTCAGCTCTGAAGCTCTTGACAGGGAACCTCAGACAGGCTGGCAGGGGCAGCCTCTCCACTGTAGGAGACAGAGCACTTCCCAGGCTGCTCTGTGACGTGGGTGACTGCAGGCAAACGCAGTGCCACAAGGAATGCGCGCAGCTGAATTAGCACAGGGACTCCGAAAGGTGTGGAGTCCACAGTTCACGATTGTGCTCAGGGGCAGACTGCTTGGCCATGTTTTGCTATGCCATTTTAATAATGATAATTTAAAAAGCCAGTATCTTTCTTTGTTCTATCTGTTGGGCTGACTTGGGCTCTTAGTTTTGGTTCTTAAATGCCTTGTAGGTCTGGGGGAACTTTCAAGAGGTATTTTACAATCAAGTGTTTGATTCAAAATCGAGAATAAGTAAGGCAGAATCTAGGAAAAGTACAAATCACTTAAATTCCCAAACTTCTGAATATACATGCAAACTCCACTGGAAACTACTATCAGGAACGTATGTTGGTAAAATGATCATTTCCAGTCATTTTTGGCTCTATCTCAGCTGAAATGTAGAAGTGAAACAAGCTGAGTGCCCAATGCCAGAGAGTCCCAAAGTTCAAATTAACTCAGTTAATCAAGAAAGGGCAGAGGCCAGGAAGGGGTACAGGTAGATTTTTGGGGCATGGAGTGTCTGTCTATTGTGTTATTGTCTGATTTTCAATGTTGAGAAATCAGTGAATTCAGTTTTCAAAGAAACTTTTAAGTACCTCTGCTCTTACAAGCTTTCCTGATATTTTTAGAGAACTGTGTTTTTTTTTTTTTTAAGATTTATTTATTTATTCGTACAGTACTGGGGTACAGGCCAGAGATGCGGAGGGTGAGAGGATTCACCAGAGACAGAGTGGGGAGCAGAACAGGCAGATCGATGAAGTACACTGCTGAGGGGAGCAGCGGGCGGGTCAGGAGAGGTCTGCCTTGTGGATCTCCGGGGCAGGCGGGATCGAACTCATGCGGAAGTGGCTTAAGCTTCTTTGTGCTGTGCTTTAACCCGCTGTGCCACCAGGGAGGGCCCTTAGAGAACTGTGTTAACATCAAAGGGAGGTCTAGAGTAATTTCCTTTGTTCCTTACAAACAACTACCGATTTGACATCTGTCCTTCACCAGAAGGCACCTGCTGTCTCCAGGAGTAAAATTTGAGTCACAGTTTTGTTTCTAACCCACTCTGCTAGGTGGCTATGCCAGCCCTGTCTCAGACACCAACATTAAGCAATAGAAAAATACCTGAACTAGGAAAAAGTCAAGGGTCCCTTTTTCTAAAAAGAAAACCTTTTCTAAGCTTTCAGATGTGGGGAATCCATGGAATTTATTGTGCATGTCACTGGCTGCTAAACAGATAAAAATAACATTGTGCATATTTATAAAATGTGTAAGTACACATAATGTAGTACAATAACTTACAGGGTTTTTTTTTTTTTTTTTTGGCTGCAAAGCAAGAGGTTTATTGACTGATAAGAAAGACAGGAAAGCGGGCTCTCCCTGGTGACGCAGTGGGTTAAAGCACGGCACTATGAAGCTCTCAGAGGCCACTGCAGCACAAGTTCAATCCCCAGCCAGGGAGCTAACCCATATGGCGCGGCAGACCTCTCCTGCCTGTGCGCTGCTCCCCTCAGCAGTGTATTTCAGTAGATCTGCCTGTTCTGTTCCCCACTCTGCCTCTGGTGAATCCTCTCACCCACCACACTTCTGGCCTGTACCCCAGTTCTGTAAGCATAAATAAATCTTTAAAAAAAAAAGAAAGAAAGAAAGACAGGAAAGCTCTCTGAGTGGAGAGGGGTCCTGAGTGGATAGCCCAGCAGTTTTTTTTTTTTTTAAACCAACAAGAGTATCTTAGTTCATAGGAATATTTAAACAACTAACCAAAAAGAAAACAAACAAAACCCTGGAGTGATGCCTTTACCTGGCTTGAAAAAGTTCCCATAAATATTTTTTTTAATATTTCAAAGGCTTTGGCTGAGAAGGCCAGATAAAACTTCCAGAATATGTATTACATATGCAATCACTTATTTTAGGGAGAAAATATTTTCCCTGTATGAAAACTTACTCTTAGTTTTCACAGAAGATGAGAACTGGGATCTTCTGACACTCAGGTTAGAATGCCCTAGAAATGCCCACCAGCACCAGGACTGCTGCACTGGTCCCTGCCTTTCCAGTCAAACATGGTCTGTTCCTGCATTTTTATGTAGCAATACTTGGTAACTAAAATTCCTAGAAAACATAATTAGCTGAGAAATTTCTACTCTGAAAAAGGCGAGAACAACAATTTACAAAAAGAGGGCTTTTCCTTTTACGAGTCTAGCAAATTTTTCTAATGGTAATTCATATAGGGCCAGAAAAGCTCCTTTCCTTTCCCTGGGAAATCGTATTTGCTGGATTTACTTTTCCCATTTCCTTAAAATACTCTGAGTATGATAAGAGTATATATATATATACATACATACACACACACACACATATATGTAATGTGCACAAATATTTACTGTATAATGCTGCAAATTTAAAAAGTAATTTTTGTTTGGAGTCTTTCCCTGACAAACGAGAACAAGACTATGGAACAGCTATTAGTCTTTGGAATTACTCAGTCAACATCTAGTAAGTGTCTGACAGAACAGGACCAAACTTCCTTAACAGCTAGCTTCCTTTGTAAAGAAACGTTAAGGTAGAAGCAGTACCTGCCACAGAACCCAGTCGGTACAAATCATCCTAGAGCCCACTTTTCTTCCCCCAACTCCCATCCAGTGGGGAGAGATCCCGATGGTCCTTTTCTTTACAACACACAATTACTCCTTGTTCTGCTCCCAACCTGAAGATCAGCCTTTTCTCCCTCCTGTGTCTAACCAGCCTCCTTACTCCAAAGGCAGTTTTGTGACAAGAAGGAAACAGTGAACAGAGTAGAAACCATTTCACTTTCTTCCTTTTTTCTAGATTGAAGCCATACTATTAAGAGGAACATGGAGATTCAGGGCTAATGAAATGAGTTTGGTGGACAAAGCTTAAGGACCCAGGCCCCAGTGGCAGGAGGCAAGAGCGTGATGTGGGCGGCCAGTGTTTCGCACTCAGCCCCAGTCTGCCCCAGTACCGGCTGGCCGTTGTTCAGGAGATCCTCCTTGAAGCGAAGCTTCCTTTCCAGGTCTTGAATGACAGCATCTTTTGAGCCTTGAATCTCCTCATCAGAGGCTATTCTAGCAGTTCTGTTGGTCTTCTTTGGAAACCCCCTACAGTACAAAACACAATGTGGAAGTCAGCTGTCAGACATAAAACCAAATCAAATAGTCCAGTCCGAGGGAGAGTTCACGGGTCAGCGCTCTACTGTGTCTGCTACGACACCTATGGGGAGAACCAGTGAAAGCTGGTTTCAGTGTTCAGGTAATCCAGTTGGAACCAGATTTCAGAAGTTTTCCTCAGTGTGCCTCAGTGGCTAGATAATGCTGGGTGTGGTGAAGGCCTTTGTTTCTGTCCGTGGTGGGTGACAATGTGAAGTAAAACATGGTGGGATTTGGTATCTGACCTAGGACTCTGCCTTCTACTAGCTTCATGACTCTGGGCAAGTTTCTTAGCGTTTCTTGCAGAAAGGTATGTACATACAGCACAGGACTTTCTTTCATGCTAGTGTTCAGTCCTTCTGATCCTTTGCAATGAATTTATTCAACAGTGTCTAGCCCATTTTAAGCGTTACTCAGCCTTCGGTGCCCATCCTGCCTCATCTGATGGGGAGCCAGTGTTACATAACTGGTCAGTGTTAAGTAATTTACGGACTGTTTTATACTAGAGTGCCACGGACGGCGTGCAGGCCCTCTATGCCTGGCATTGCCCCAGGCTCCTCAGCCTCTCGAATGGCCGAGGCCTCCTAAGACAAACATCTTAGGAACTTTCCTTTCCAGGGCAGCAGAAGCCAAGGGAATCAGGTGTCACTTTGGGTGGAGACCTTAAGTGATTTGCTTCCTAGTCAATTCCTTTTCCTTTACAGAGATCAGTGAGAAATGGAACATGCTAAAATGGCAAGAATGAATGACCCTACAGTAACCCCAGTCACCAAAGTTAAATTTCTAACATGTAATGCCAACTGAAAAAAAAAAAAAAAAAAAGCCAGTCACAGAATACACATGCTGTGCCTTCCATTTCTCAAGAGCAAGCGCTGCACAGCTGCGCCAGCTCCCTGGCCCCCAAAGGGTGTCCCCGAACTAGCAGTATCATCACCTGAGAAGTTGTCATAAACATGGATTCTCCCCCCTGTCACTCCAGGCCTGCTGAACCAGGAAGTCTAGGTTAGGGTCCAGCAGCCTGTGATTTGACATCCTCTCCAGATGAGTCTGTTACAAATGAAACTTTACCAGACTAATGGAGGGAAACAGATAAAAATTAATAAAGAGAAGAGAGTAACTAAGAAATGTAGGGTAGTTGCTATTCTCAAAGGGGACACAATGGATGGAACTGGGAAAGCCCCATAAGGTGTTTTTTTTTTTTTAAAGATTTATTTATGCCTACAGAACTGGGGTACAGGTCAGGGGCGGCGAGAGGCATCACCAGAGACAGAGTGGGGAGCAGAACAGGCCGACTGATGAAGTGCACTGCTGAGGGGAGCAGCGGGCGGGTAAGGAGATGTCTGCCGCGCCCTGTGGGTCACCTCTGGGGCTGGAATCGAACTGACACAAGTGGCTGCGACTTGCTTGCAGTGCTGCACTTTAACCCCCTGTGCCACCAGGAAGTCCATTTCAAAGTTTTAGAAGATTTTTTGCAAGTATGTTAAGACATGACATGCCTGACATCACTGATCTGACATGAAGCGCCAGGAAGGCCAAGAATGTAGTAAGCACTAGGGTTCACCAAGCCATTTACATGGCAGCGCCGGGACGAGCCAGCACGAAGAGTGTGGTGCAAATGGGCATCCCTGACATCTCCATGCTGGGTCCTTGTCGACGCAGCGGACTTCCGAGGCCTGTGTTCCGGCCTCTCAGTAGCCTCCCTCCTACCTGGTTTTGTTGGGTGCTCACCCCTCAATGTGCCTGCAAACCCGACTGATCTAAGTCAATTTTCACTGAGTCCACCCTGGGGCTGGGGTTCAGCTAGAGGCTTGTGCTGGCTCTGTCCAGTAGGGCTGGGGACATGGAGGTGGGAGAAGGGGAGTACCAGCTGAAAGTCCCCTCAATTAAAAAGGAAAAAAAAAAACACCAGGGAAATATCTTTCACTGACTACCACCATGTTAAAATTTTTATGCAAAAACCGCTGCATCTACTGCAGGACTACGAGGGGAGAACCCACACAGGCCAGGGACGAAGCTGGGGAAGAGACCCTGGGTCCTAATTATGTTCACTGACCACGGAGCCGGGTGTAACTCAGGAAATCTCCTACTGGTCCCCGAGTCTTCCACCACTGCTGGAAAACCTCACTGGTGCTGGTGGCTCTGCCTCCTTTCTGGTTGTTCGCCCTTGAGGTTCAAATACTCTCTATGATATTAGACACTGACACTAAGAAGAGAATAAAATACTGTGACAACTTGTGTCTGTAATGTCAAAGCAGTGGTCAATCATGTTTTCAGTTGCATCCAGTGGAACTTGTGTTTTCAGGGAGCTGGGCAATGAACCCAACACCTTGACAAGAGCCTTAGGAGTTTGATTTAGAACCTTAGTACTTTGACATCCAGATCTTTAACAAAACTATGCGGAGCTTGTCAGCTTCCTGGGCCTGGAGGCTCTCTGCCTTACTTTTTCCCTTGGGGTAATGTCATCACCCTTAAGCTTTCCTTACTATTTCCAGAAGGACAACCCTGACTAACTCAACCCCATTCATTCTCTTGTGGTGTTTGTTTCTTCATAGCGTGCATCATACTTTATAACAGCATGTTCTCTTTCATTGTCTCGCCCTCACTCAGACTCCCGATAACCAGGGTGCTTGTCAGACCACAGACCCCAGCAACTCAAGGAATGAGTGATTGCATGCACTGTCCACGCCGGTCCACGTCGGCCTCTCTCTCCCTTTAACTCATCAGGCTTGAAAATCTGTGCCCAGGCCACTTGACATCAAATACATGTCAAGAGTCAGGCTTAGAACAAGTACAAGTTACACAACTTTGAAAACAAAGTTCTATGTTGCTTTTAACTAGTCTTACGTCCGAGAAACTAGGGGAATTAGCTTTTGCAATCACCTGAAAGGTAAACTGGAAGACTAGTTCTCTGTTAGGTCAGGTCCCATTATTTACACCTGACTCATACACCAGCTGCACACAAGGTGCTGATGAGCAGCCTCTGGCCAAGAGGGCCTGGCTGTTCTGCAGGCAGACTCCCCAGAGTGATGTTCTCTGTACTCAGAAGGGAAGGGGCAAAGGGCAGCTCTCAAGGCAGAACAGATCAGCTCAATGAGAGAAGCAGAGAACTGTACAGACAAAGCACAATCCCAGTCACCACGGAGTAAGTCCTGCTGCTTAAAACGCACTGCCCAGTATCCTGGACCTCTTCAGGGGGCCTCAGAAAAATAACTGGGGCATTTCACAGACCGCGGTTCATCTTGGTGCGAGTTCCTGCTACCCAGGTATTTTATTGTCTGAGAGTACAATTAAAGTAACTCTTGCCCTTTTACAATTACAATAAAAACCTTACTCTGAATTTCTTCTCACAAGCCAATTCTCTAAACACCTCAAGATCACCAGTAGCAGAAGTAGCAGAAGGGTGTTTCTGCCATTCCTGTTTTCCCTGTTTTCAGGCCTTTATTTTCCTCTACTTACAGAATTTAAGGTACTCATATTTTCTTAGTTCTGAACACCTAACACTGAAAGAAAAACCAATGGAAAGATCTGCCTATTCGTCGTTTCACAAATATTTATCAAACATCTAACGAGGCCCAATGTGAGGCAAAGAGGCCTGGGTCACAGGAGGTTACTTCTTAATAAACTTTTGGGGAGGAAAGTTAAGGAACAAAGTAGGTGATTATAATTCTAGGTGCAATGGGGGTAAGAAAGGAACGGCTGCTCGAAGAGTGCTGGACAGGACTGCAGGAGATGCCCCAAGAGAGGCGTCAGGTGCTGACGGGCCATGAAAGGCAGCCAGTCCAGGAAGAGGAAGGGCCCAGGATGAATGATGATGGTGGGAACTTTTTTTTAAACCACTCTAAAAGCTGTGTGGCCTGGATGTCTACTGTCAACTCCATTTTCCTCCCTGGTAAAGTGTAAAGCATGAGGATTAGTGTAACGCACCTCACAGGGCTACTGGGGAAATAACTGCATGGATCAGTGCCTGGCAGTAAGGAGGCTCCCAGAGGGGCACGGTCCGGTGGCGGCAAAGCAGGCGAGAAGGCGAGGGCAAAGAATGAGAGGTGGAGGAGTTATAAAAGATGCCCCGAGGCCCAGAGCGCAGTTTCTAAGGATGTGCACACTCACCCTACTGAGCCCAACTCTGGCTAGGTGCTGGGGACAGTGTGGATAGAAAATGAAACCGCTGTTTACAAAAATTACACCCTCTGGCAGGGATGGTGCGGTGTGGGGAGAGGACCAGAGTGCGCAGGGGTGTGATCAGCCACAGGGCTGGGGCTGAAGCCCCCGAGGCCAGGGACAGGAAGGTGCGGCTGGTGGGGTCAGTGCGTGAGCCCCAGGAGCGAGCCCAGGGCACTGGCCCTTGCGCTTCTTCTAATACAGGAACTTTTCTTTGTCTCAGATTATCTCACTCGGACTAGCATAATCCAGAAAACGCCTGAAGAAATAAAAGTTTCAAACTGTGTGGAGTTCAGGATGACTCTGTCAGGTTAGGGTTAGACACCCAACTGGAGTATCTGGGAAAGGAAAGCACCAGGAAAGAAAAGCTTGTAACTTGTTGAGACAAAGTTTTGGCAATGTGTTTTCTGGAAAAAAAAATTCTGTTTGAGCTTGATGCAGAATGGCAGTGGTTTGCTCACCCAAATGGCACCTACTCATCAGGTAATAAAGAGAGTATCTGGAAGGTGACAGGTCATCTTTCCTTACGGTTCATATCATTAGAAAATAAAATGCATATTCAAAGTAAACTGAGTCAGAAATCTTCACAGAAAGTGGCCAGAGGCACCCGCTCTAGTGAACAGCTCTCAGCAGCCTCACATGCTCCGGGCACACATATCACTGCCCTGCCCACTCCAGCTTCAACAGTGTCACTGTTTTAAAGTAACATCACGCGGCCGGGATAAAAACATCTCAGACATACACACAAGCATCTGGTACGTAAAGCCTTTCAGACTCAACCACCACCAAATCTC